AACTTGCCACAACAGGGAACGACGACAGGCTGTAACCAAAAACTGTCACGTCGGGACTCCAACAATGAGTTAAAGAGAAAGAGAGAGAGAGACTCACCCAAACTGACAGCTTCCGCCACCCCCAACCTTTAACTCGCCATTTTGGCACATGGCAATTTCCGCCAACTGCAGAACATGACAACCAAAAAAAGGAAAAAAAAAAAAAATCAGCAGAAATAAATGTGTGTGCATCAGAGGTCGAGGCAAATTCTTTTCCAAAAACTCGACAAAAAGTTAAAAGTTTAATTGTGCGCAACGCTTAAACGCAGGGCCAGGCAGCACAGTAGTTTCAACTTTTATTAAGTTTATTTTAAATATGCTTTTGCTATATTTTTACGCCTTGCACTATGGGGAAAATAACTATTTTATTAACAGCAGGCAAAAATGTGTCCTTCATTAAAATTGAAACTAATTATAATGGAAAATGTATGCAGCCTTCTAGTTGAACTGTTACTAAAACGAATAGATACGATGAGTCAACTAATTTCTCGAAAAAATACAAATCACTTAAATTTTTGTTGAACAGGCTTTTTAGTTTAGTTTCAGCAAAAAATATTCAAAGTTATGTAGAAAACTAATGGAAATACTCGGAACAGAAACAACTTTGTTTTGCAATTTATTCCAATTCTATTCAGAACTAGTGTTTCAAAGTTCTTTTTGTATGTTTTTATACTCACACAACAATCAACAGATCAGAGATTTTATATATAAATGTTTAATGCCGTTTCTACAACTATTAATATTGTTAATCATTATTGTTAAATGGTATTTTAGCGCAATATATATTTCGTTTATTGTTAATTGAAGAAAGAAAAAGTCAATTACACCATAAATCGATCGAACCGTTGTTTTTGTTTTTCTGATTGCATATAATATTTTTTTAAAATCGGTGCTAATGCTCCACAGTGCATTGATATAAGGCATTAAGCCGTACGATCATGGACCTGGCGACGTGCTGCCACAACTTTCTGGGCTTGCATTTCGTGCCTGAACTGCAACAGCAGTTTCAAAGTTGATGCCAAGCGGCTGCTTTGTTACAGTTTGATAAAATCAAATATACACTACACACATGCATACATGTATTTGTGTGTGCGCGTGTGTGTGTGCGCTGTTGTGCGTGTCACACACTGTTACATGGCAGGTTGCACACACTTGACTCGCTCGACCTCGCTTGGCCTCCTTGTCGCCCAAAGCGACTGCGGCTGCCATTTTGCATCAAAGCGAAACTAAGCTGTGCGTATATACACACACACACGCACATACATACATACATACATAAGTGTGTTGGTCAGTTGTCGCTTTTGGCCAGGCAGCTGTTGCTCAAGAAATTGGCCATGCCATGCTGCTGTTGTTGTTGTTGTTTGCGTTTGCTGTGAGCATAAAGCGTTTAAATGGAAATGCAATATGGCAGCAAATGCTGCTGGCAGGCTGCTGCTTCTGTTGCTGCTTCTGTTGCTACTTCTTGCTGCTTGTCCGGCCTTTCTTCCCCAGTTTTTTGCTCTCTGGAGGCTGCCTGTGCCTGGGCGCGTGGTAAAATATTTAACTGCCATCAGTTGCTGTCATACTTTTTTAATTGACTTATCAATAATTCATGCAGCCTGTCACACATGCAACAAACGAAAACACACAAGCACGGCGACATGCAACGACATGCAGTGACAGCAGGTAACCGAAGAGGAAGAGCGCTGGAGTGAGGGAGACAGAGTGCACCACTTTAGGAAAGAGTTGAAGGCCCACTCATAAATACAAATGAAGTTGCTGCTGCAGTTCAGGAAAACTGTGATTGCCTGACTCTGACTCTTGATCTCCCTCGCTCTCTCTCTCTCTCTCTCTCTCTCTCTGTCTAGGTATTTACATATATGTATATAGCTGTCTCTTGCTGTCTCGTTTTATATTTATTTTGATTAATTTAAGTTTCGCTACACCTTTGCGCGCCTTTCGCATATTTTGCGCCATCAAAATATATCTCATATGCATTCTTCACCCTTTCGCAATTTTGCTTTGTTGGCCAAAGCTGCTTCCTCTGCAGCAAAACTGGAGGCACGTGATTGATGCATTTTTAATGCGCATTCATATGAGCCAAAGGCATCGGGCACAGGCTTTGGGGAGTTGACGGGTTGGACTGGGCTGGGCTGGGCTTGGTTCGGTTTGGTTGAGAAGAGGCGCCGTTTTAATGCGTTTTATTCATCGCTCGTCGGAAGCACACAGCATAAGGGATGATGATAAATAAATGTAAAGCAGCCAAGGTTGTTGCCTTTTTGGCTCACTCTGCTCCAACTTTTACTTATGCATATATCCAATTCATTTCATTTCGTTTCGTTTCATGAAGAAACAGTTTCTCCTTTTTTGAAAAATGCCATCGCGTAAATTTCGCAACTCTCTCTGCTTTTTCGGGGCTCGCAACTAAGTAAGTACAGTGGTAATAAATGTTACCAAAATGGCGAAATGCCAGAGGATAAATGGTTGCAGGCAGGTACACAAGCGAGTACACAAGCATGTAAATTGGCGAGGCAGGCAAGGCTGTGGGCTGGGGGGACTCTGGCCATTAAGATGACTTTAAAATAAATTTTACAAAATCACGCGCTCATAAATGCAAAACATACAATAAAAAAGAGCAAGATTGTAGCAAGGACGAGTGAAGAAGGAAAAACGAATGCAAAAGGAATTCTGCAGGCAAGGATGAAATCAAATTTAACGCTTCGGTAGGATTTGTGCCAAAGAGCACATGATAGAGAAGAAGTGGAACCACCAGCAGCTGCAGCAGCGGCAGCCGAGGAAAATGTTCTGGTTAAGAAAGGCCACGTACCACTTGACATGAACACAGACACAAACAAACAAATAACAACTCGGTTGTATGTAGTACAAACATATGCTCATATCTATATGCATATATGGTTTATTATAGGGTGACATAAATCGCAATCATCCAACGTTTCGAACAATTGGAAATATCTGTTTAAAGCTTTACTTGCGAATTTTTCGCAATCAAAATACGAGCCAACTAATTCGCTAATAAATTTAAATAAACTCGATGCGGTTTACTTAAATTTGCTCTGTTTTTCTTGGCACCCTGTTCAAATTAACACGCATGCCTGCATATGCAGGCAGAAGCAGTAGAAGCAGCAGACGCTGCAACAACGGGGGGCATGGGGCGGCAGAAATCTGGCGCGCTGCACGTGCCGGCGGATTAAGCACTGCATGGGGCCTACAGCTTGAGGGAAAGGGCACGAAAGCAGAGCTGGCAGAGGCCGCAACTGCAGAAGAAAAACGTTGCGTATAAGTGGCGAGAAAATATGAAAAGAAGCAGCATGAAATATGTGTAGCATAAGACAAGGCGCATAATCAAAAGTAGCAGGCGGCAGCAGCGGGTGGGTTATACCTAAACACACACACACACACTCGCACACATGTGTGTATGAGTAGGGCGCGACTGCTGCAGCATCCACACCCTCGAGCTTGTTGATGCACATGCCACTTATACAAACAAACCCAGAGATGTTGCCCGACTGAGTAAGACGGGGAGGCTTAGAGTGGGCAGAGTATGGAGGGTGGAGTGGTGGAGTGGTGGAGAGGGTGGACCTGCCCCCGTATCGCTCTTGGTTTATATTTTCATAAACCCCCAAAAATGGTGGCGCACAAAAACAAAAGCTGTTCACAAAAGCTCACACGCTCGAGCGGCGAGTTGATGTAGCGCATGCTTCTTGACATCCAACCCAGTGTGTGTGTGTGTGTGTGTGAGTAAATTTGTATTTGTGTTAGTGCACATGTAAATATACACACTCGACATATCGATCATAAATACTTATGTTTGCCTTGATTATACAGCTACGGTTATGGCTATGGCTCTGATTTGCGAGCTGCCATTCGCTGTTGAATTTTGATTTTTATGCCACATGTCGGCCCGAAACTTGCACCTTCTTGAATGGTGAATGGCGAATGTGGAATGTTTATTGATATGCAAGACATTGTTTATACAACAAATTTAACATAAATAAACTCCAACCTCCTGCGTCACTTGTGTGCGTGCGTGTGTGTGTGTGCAGAATACTTAAAGATTTCATGTTCAAACGCCCTTCAATTATAATTTTGTTGCTTGTGGAACTTGTACGCAGAATTGCTCCAATTTAGCTAAAAGGCAGGGGAGGGAGTGAATATAAGCTCCTTATAGCTGTACTCTTACTACGTGAATATATGTACATACATGAAAGAAGGCAGAACAAAAGCGTTTGTTAACATTATTCAAACTTTTTTGTTAAATAAATTTTGTTTAATTTTTCATTTTGAAATTCACAGACTAGTTGGGGGAAAAATTTAAAATATTACGACTTTTGTGAAGAAATGCCAGCCCTATTACTATGTATAAGAACTGTTCCTTAGAATAATACATTTACCTTTAAGAGGGGGTTGGCAACAAGAATGTTGCTTTCAGGAATTTTAACTGAATATTCAAAAACGTAAATTAAATATTCAAAAGTTCCTTAGTCGACTGCTCGTGAGAAAGTCAATTTCACTATCGAAGTTATGTGGCACTGTTATTTATAATTTTTTTTTTTCAAAAATTAAAATATAAAGCTTTTTTAGTAAGCAATGCCTTGACTTATTCTTCTCTCTTCAGCAGCTCTAAGCTTTTGTTGTCCGTTCAATTATCTGTACATTTTTTAATCGAAAAATGAAAACTTTTGATTATTGCTTCGGGTGTGCTATTGCCAAACTTTCTGACTATTGTCCACAACTTTTGCAGCCTTCGGATTTATTTGTTTTCATGTCTATCCCAATTGATTGCCATTTGTTGGTTGCTGGCTGCTTCGAATATGAAAAAGTATAGCATAGTTTTTAGCGACAAACTAATCCAGTGTGGCTAAAACACCCCAAATATTTTTAAAATTCCTTTTCCTTCCTTCTTGTCCATGCCAACCGCATAGAATTTTGAAAGAACATTTTGAACTGGTAGTTGGACTCACCTCTTCTTCATTGCTGGCCGTGTTCACGGAGTCCATGCTCTGTGACAGTCCCAGGGGGGCCAAAGCCATTTGATTCTCCATTATGGCTGTGGCGTTGCTGTTGCCGGTTGTGTTGTTGTTGCTGCTGCTGTTATTGTTGCTGTCGCTAGCGGGTGTGGCCGCAATGGCGCTCACACTGCCTGCCGGCGAGGGTGTTGTCGATGCGGACGAGGAGTTCGATTCGTGCGACTCGTGCAGCGAGCTATTTGGTGAGTTGTTGTTGCTGCTCCCTGTGGCGGCAGCGGCTGTGACTGCTGTGGCCGTTGGTGTGGTCGCAACGGTCAATGCAGTTGTGGTTGCTGCTGCAGTTGTTGTTGCTTCTGCTCCTACACTTGTTGTTATTGCTGTTGGTGCTGCGGTAACTGCTGTTATATTATTGGCCACAGGCACGCTGCTGTTAGCCGAGGGCGCTGAGTTGTTGCTGTTGCTACTGTTATTGCTGTTGCTGCAGTTGCCGGTGTGCTTGTTACTGCTATTGCTACTGCTGCTGCTCAACAATATATGCTGCTGTTGCTGCTGTTGTGGAGCGTAGTGGGCGTGTCGCAGCTGATAGCCGCTATAGGCTGATTGAGGCGTCTGTGGCGCGCTGCTAACAAAATGTGTAGGATGCTGTTGCTGTAAAACTGCAACGTGTTGCTGATGGGCAGCGGCAGCGGCTGCTGCAGCGGCCGCAGCTGCGGCGGCGGCGGCGGGATGAGCAACGGCTCCTCCGCTGGCGTTATGCAGATGCTGATTGAGCAGAGCAGCGGCAGCGGCCGCTTGATTGTACTGTGCCAGACGCTGTTGCTGCTGCTGATGTTGTTGCTGCTGTTGCTGTTGCTGGTGATGCTGCTGCTGTGACGTGTGGAGGTGAGACGCTGTCGACTGTTGTTGCTGGTGCACTGTGTAGGCGGCAACGACGGCTTGCTGCTGCTGTTGCTGTTGTTGCTGTTGGTGTTGGTGATGTGCGGCTACGGCGGCGGCCAACTGCGATGTGGGATGTGCAGCGTGATGAGCGGCAGCGGCCAATTGGGCGGCAGCAGCTGCTGTCGGATTGAAGCTCAGCTGATGTCCCTTAAGAGCTGCTGCGGCGGCGGCTGCAGCAGCGGCGGCGGCGGCCGGGGAGCTAGCGTACTCGTATTGCAGATGTGCAACGGCGCCCGGAGTAACCGCGGGCAGCACTGAGACGGCAGCGGCGCACTGGCGTTTGGGCGACAACACCTGTGGGGCACTCGCTGGCGTTTGCGGCAGCGTCGGCCTGCGTTTAATCGCAATCGACGAAATGGTGATGGCTTTTTCAAACACTTGCTGCTGGGGGGGAGTGTGCACGCCGGTCGCTAGTCGGGTGTTTATGTTGTGGCCGTTGATATTGTGGTTAATAATGATGTTGCTGTTGTTGGTTGTCAATGTTGCTGGCAGCAAGAAATGAGGCGACAACGACGGCGTCTGGTCAGCTATGGTGAGCAGGTGAGGGCTGCCGAGCAATTGCTGAGGGTTGGTAGCTATGCTTGCGGTTCAATAATACTGCAAAGACACAAAAAATAATACATTTTTATTAGAACATTTTATTACCTAAAATCAACATAAATATGTCGATAAAACCTGCTGTGAATTATAAATTCAATGCATGGTTTCCAGAGTGTTTTCCTACTCATCCCCAACAAACCGCCGCCGCACATTTGAGCGTAAATTTCAGCAAATATTTGCACTGTGTTTGAATTATTGTTGTGAAAATGTGGAATATGCAAATAATATTTCGATATTGTCAAAATACTTGCGAGTTTATTTAACATAATGCAAATGTTTGCACAGCACGGCAGCAACATGGAGCAGACAAATGATATGCATAACATATATATATATATATATATATATATATATATATATATATATATATATATATATATACAGACGGAAAGAAGGCAGACAGATATGCATGTGTGTGCGTCTATAGAGAGAAGCCAATCGAGCATATGCGTGTATCACAGTAGGCAATCTAAGTACTCGTACTAAGCTAATAGAAGAAACAATAATGGAGAGCATAACTCGATTTTCGCATTGTATAATAACTTCAATATTTGAAGAGATTGGGCGAGGCAATATTCAAAGGTATTGTTTGATTTATATGGATCGCAGCCTTTTCTCAAAAGTTTGCACAATTTTGCTGGCTTCATTTATTCAATGCTTACAAAATTAATCAACATATGTATTTGTTTTGTCATTCATCTCATGCTCAACAATTTAGGTGTTTTCCACAAAATGTAGCCCATCAATATAATTTTGTCACGTAGTGTGCGCTCAAATTTTTCAGAATGTTACATAAATCAAAAGCAAACATTCCTGGCAAAGGCAGTAAAAGAAATTTGAGCGGCAAATTGTGGCACAGATGGAACATAAAACGTAAACAGAATGTAAGCAAAATTCCAAGAAGAAATTCTAAGAGGAGAAACATAAACAAAAATGTTAATTGAGTGGGTCATGTTTTGTGCAAGGCATTGAACTTTTTTACACTGCATGCCACCTAATGGCTGGCTACACCAAGCGTCTATATGAATATGTATGTGGCTATCGCAAGGAATCTTCACAACTCCATTACGCAGTCAACTAAATCTGAACAGTAGTAGCAACGAGAAGCGAAAAAAATCTGAGTACACAAAACCGTAAGGCAAACAAACGAAAATACACAAAGCCAATACACAAACATATCTATAAGTATAAATATATATACATATATAGGAGTATGTAAGACAAGAAAAGCTTGCAAATTGAACTGACAACAAACTGAAATTTTATTATAAGCCAAACAGACAAAAGCGAGACAGAGAGAAAGAGCTGGGAAGCCACAGAGCTGGATAGCATTGCCCAAAAAATATGCACATAACTAAAGGCAAGCGCAGCAAAAGTTCAGATCGGAAAGATACATATATCCACATACGAGAGTATACATATGTACGAGTATATTTATGTACATATATGGAAATCATGCTGGCGCCCTGTTGCACACGAAGGACGCGAAGGCAGCTCCGTTCTGTTGCGTTGCGATGCTATCGGCATCACCTCAATATGTGAAGAATAAATGTGCCGCGTGTGAATTGTATCTGTAAGATGCGATAGATAGATATCCACACTTTTCATATGACAAATTATGCAAACGATAGCATTCATTTCTGTTCGTAAGTGTTTAGAAGCCAAGAGCAAACAATACTCGCACAAACAATAAACAAAGTTTTTGGCACAGCCATCAGCTGCAAAGTAAATCAGACCCGCTTCGCAGGCACTTTGCGAGCCTTTAGCCATTTTCCAGCGAAAGTGGATGAGTGCAGGATAAACAAATTGTGCATAAATAATTACATAAAATAATGACAGCTCCTCAATTTTTCAAACCTCATCTACTCATAATTTATGTGAGCAGTAAAACAATTTGTTATTTTCATTAGAAGGTGGGCTTCCTATAAAGCGGTTACTAGAAAAGCCTGGCCTTTTAAAATGCAACACAGTCTAACATGGTTCTTGAAATATGGTAAAAGAGCCTCAAACATATATCTGTAAGTCTCCTGTTAAATTTGAAGCAGGATGCCGCATTTGATGCAGTCCCTCTATAATGTGACTGCTGATATGCATAGATAAGTAAGTTGAAAGCAAACCAATTGTGCAATAGCAGTCTGTCTATGGAAAATCTGAAAGTAGGCCCAGCTCGGCCCCCCAACACATCTAATTACACAGCGGCAGCAAAGTTTAATCATAATTCAAAATTAATATGCCACGGCAATAATTCGCTCCCACCCGAACTCCTGCCCGAGCCGTAGCAGCAGCACGCTTCGTCTAATCCCAAATGATTTATAATTAATAGAAATTATGAGCAGAAGACTGGCAAGGCGAAAGGCGGCTGGGGGGGTGGCATGCATAAAACATTCATGGCGCGTTCGGCATATCATGTTCGCATTTAAATATGCGCCTTTGTATTTGACGCCATTGTGTTGGCCAAGTGAGATTTATAGCCCAAAGTTGTGGCCTAGATTAATTGGTCCGTGTGTGCATACATGTGTTTGCGGGCAAATATCTATTTAATGTGCAAATTTAATTGATTTGCATTTAACAATTAACTTGTTGCCGCACCCCAAACTATGAGCACAAATTGGGGGCAGTTTTTATTATTCCTATAACTTGACGCTTTAAATGGCATCGAAACTATAAAATTTGAGGATAAAAACCACATTAATCATCGAATATAACAGCTTTATGTAACTCTATGTGTGATTATACTTATAGCGAGCTTATTAGTCAGAGATTGAGATGGAAAATCAGCGTTACATCATTTCATAAGAAACTATAATAAGAAAATATAATTAAAATAAACAATAAATACATAATCGAACTAAGACGCGTATATATATTATTAGTCCACCACTGATAAGTCTGTATTGATTAAAATAAAATGCATATATTACTTAGCCTTAGAAAAATAATGCTACTGCATTGTAATTTATATATAAATATATCATAGCAGATCGATTGCAATCAGGTCTTTTGAAGTTCTTATAAAGAATACTATAATCAAGGTTTACAATTTTTGAAAGGAGTTGAGATGGCCAGAGCGACTGTGCTCGCCCACACTGAAGTAGATCTTCCATGTGAGGAGGTATTCGGTATCTGTACAATTATTGGATATCGCTATGATTTCCACCTTAAATTAAGTGAATCAAGAGAACCATATGCCCCTGGTCCGAGAAGTAGATCATTCCTCCTACTCTCCCTTCTAGCTTGAAGCCACAAATACGTAAATAGCATTATATCTCGCGTGCAGGGAACAATGCTCTACCAATTTCTCTAACAATAAAAAAATATTAAAAAGCACTGCATTTTTTCAGTTAATGCTACAAGTTTTTCAAATTTGATGAGCGCGCTTTATAAAAAGCCAGATAAAGCCACAAAGTGTGTGTGTGTGTGTGTTTTGACTCACTTTGATGCAAGTTTGTACAAAATATTATGTACAAAGAGTAAGTTACAAATGACAGCAACAATTTCTGTATACAATGCCCGCCCTGTCAGCGCTATAATGACAATGCCAGTCTGCCACGCTTACACACACACACACACACAAATGGGAAATTAGTCAGAAAAAAAATTGAAAAAGTTTACTGCAACAACAACAACAACAATGGCAACCAGTCATAAATATCGCTAATGAATTTCCCGCACGCTTTGCTGAGCTCTGCTCAGTGCCGCGGATCCCAACTTGGCTCGCTGCTTATTTTTCTAAACAATTTCCATTTGTATTCGTTATTTTCTAAACAAAATTTACAACGGAAGTTGTTGGGCGCGTTTCTGTCTTTTTTTTTTGCTCTCTGCCTTAATCTGTTGCTGTTGTTGCTGCTGTTGCTGCAATAAAAATATAATTAAATGTAATTATTATAATGGCAAATACGTTTTAATTTTAGACTGGCGAGCGATCTATCTGCATATATTTGTAGCCCCGACCTCTTCCCTCTCCTCTGGGGGCCCAGAGTGCGGAAATGTGTGCGCCTAATTAGGCAGCCGAAAATCCAAAAATGAATTTAGAGCAAACCTACAAGCCCATTTTTCAGCCTAAGCCGGCTGGCTGGGCGCTGCCTGCCATTCATTGTTAACTTTCAAGTTAAATTTGGCTCGCGGCGAAAACGAACGAAAACAAAAATCATGCAAATGGGCTTCTATGGTCTTCTACTTGTATGCAGTATACGTATAATGTATTTGACCCGATTCGCAATGGGTCGCAGCTAAGGCAAAAAGCTGGCAGGGCGTGTTGATCGGATCACGTTTCATTGTTGCCATACCTACTCATACAAGTACACTAACCCAAAAAAGTGTTTCTCACTTCTCAGGCCAATTGCGAAACAGATAAGCTGAGTCCACGACATGGGCGATTTCAAAACGATGGTCGGATGAGGATTTTAAGAAATAAATGTTCAGACTCAGTTCTCAGATTTTTTGGTCTAATTTCTGAAGTTTTTATGGAGAGTGGTTGATAGTTGAAATGTTTAAAACCAGGCTTACATGCTTGATTTCAGAATCGTATTAAAAACATCAGGTTTTATCGATTGTTCAAATCTGATTAGTTAGCTTTTAAGAGTTTGCAGACTTTTTTTTGTGAAATATCCACATCCATTATTAAACAGTATTAATTACGAACTGCATGGAATTGTCGTTTATTTTATATTTACCAAAACTTCTAAGCTCTTCCAAAATCGGTATTAAAACGGATTGGAGTTTGATTTGCGTTGGCTTTAATTTAAATGAAAATTGAAGAAAAATCGAACAGCAACTGAATGCCAAGACGTTTTTAAAGTGTATTAATCTTCGAGTAGATTAGATATTGTAGCACTGTTTGGTGCTTTTGACCTTATGCGCTATGGCCGATTAGCTGGCAATTGAGCATAAAACTCGCCGAGTCCCGCCCATGTGCGCTGCAAGAGCAATACAAAGCATTTAAAATAATTTGCAAGCGAGCTGCCGCCGCCACCACCAACAAGTATGCAAATTAACAAGTGGCAGCCCAAAGCTATAGTTGTTGTTATTTTTGTATGCCAACAATCTCTGTGTGTGAGTGTCTGTGTGTGAGTGTGTGTGTGTGTGTGTGTGTGTAGACAAATGCTAATCGATGCACGCCCACGATCACGTGGACACACGTTCTCATCACTCGCATCTTTTTGCCTGCTGCCCAAGTTTAGTAAAAACGAGTTATGAGTTAGAAATGACGAGCGAGACTAAACCCGACTCGGCCATAAAAACAAAGATGATTCCAAGATTTGTGTGTATCTATGTGTGTCTGTGTGTATGTGTGTGTGTGTGCTGACAGCTGTAGATGGCGCTCATTTAAGATTTTGCATTGCTAATTGCGAGCGCACTGGATGCAACGCATAAGTAGCTACAAGATATGCCATTTATATGGCCAGAATACCCGAAGCCCACCCACGTGCTCGCGATGCGATGCGCTACGCTGCCCTGCATATGATTTCGCATTCTTAGCAGCCCCCATGTCTTATTGCAACTCAAGCGAAATTAATGCCGCACCGACGACAATGACAACCATAAACTTGGCACTCAGATACAGATAGAGAGCAGCGCAAATAAGATACAGTATGTGCTTTAGATAGACAACTTAATCAGGCGCCATAAAGTAGCGCAACAAATGCGTACTCTCGTTTTGAGCGATGATCATACAATTCGTTTCTGGAGAGCAGCAAATGAGCAACTCTCAGCATCTTATTTGAAGATAATTTATTGGTCATACACTTTTTATAACCGTTCCACTTTTGGTAATTTTGGCATTAAAACACATGATTAATGGCGTCTGAAATTAATGGTTTATCTAGCAGTGGAGACTATCTAAAATTCATGCCTGGATTTTCAAGAAATAAAATATATTTGAAACTTGGAACTCTATGCAAAGTAGGGAATAAAATTCATAAGTATTTGAAAGGAAAACATCTACTTCATTTGTCACTAAGCGTGAGTTTTTAATTCATTTGGAAGCATTTTGCATTACAAGTTGTAAAGAGAAATATTTATGGTTATGGTTTATCTGGTAAAATATATGCCTGGATTTTCAAGAAATAAAATATTTTTCAAGCCTTGAAACTCAGAAGTCTATGCAAAGTAGAGAATAAAATTTGAATATTAAGCCCGAATTTGAAATGAAGAGTTGAAATTATTTTTAGTTTTTAATGCAACCTTTTTCTATTTATAAATCTGGCTTTTTTAGTGAGAAGCATAAGTTTGAATCAAACTCGTTTCGAAATATTTTCAAGAAACCTGGTAACACTTTAAATTGAAATTCATTTATAGAGAACACACTGTACTTCTAAAGTTGTCTGCCTGCTCAGCAGTCCCATCCAAATTTGTCGTTGGGCGTGTGAGATGCGCTCGCAAAACAAAAAAAAAAAAGAATAATATTATAATAATAAAAATAAAAACTTGTAGACTGAAGCAGAAAGCGCACACGCCTAGTGGCTGTTCTGCCAAGTGCCGAAAGTGGTTTTGGCCATAACTTGTGCAACTGCTGTTGCTGTTTTGTTGTTGTTGTTGTTACTGTTATTACTGCTGTTGCTGCTGGTGGTGTGGCTGTGCTGCTGCGGCTGCTGATGCTGCTGCTGCTATTGTACATATCATAATTAATATTTAATAAGAACAGCCAGCAAGCCAACAGTCAGACTGTCTTGTGCTGCTGACTTTGATGTGAGATGTGCAAAAAGTTAAGTTCTTGGCAGAAAATTGCGAAGCGTCTCAGTTTGTTCGGTTGCTTTGCTGTTCGCTTGTCTGTTTGTTTTGCATTTTTAACTTTTTTGTTGCTGGTTACATATGTATAAAAATACAGTATGTATGGTATATAGAGGGGCATGAATATTAGCGGCAGCTTCAGCTGCTTGCTGTCATCCCCACGAGTTGTAATATGTACATATGTATAAAATATTATGATGCTCAGGCAACAATTTTTATAACTTGGCATGCTCCAGTTCTTTTGGCGCAAGGTAACTGTGTCTATGTAGAGTAAGAGTATGTATGTGTTTGTTTGTAGCATTTTCAAATGACTGTAGTTTTGTTTTGTAGTGCCTTCTAACAACATGCCTTGCCTTGCCTTGCCTGCCTGCCTGCCTGCCTGCCTTTCGTTTCGTTTTCAGTCGACGGTATTTTTTTGAAAATTACAAAATCCATTAAGTTGCTTGCACGCAACTTAAACATAAATCCATCATACGCCATGTAGCGCCACACACACACATATATATATATATATATATATATATATATATATATATATATATATATATATATATATATATATATATATATATATATATATATATATATATATAGGTATTTGTAGATACATTGAAACACGCGCTGCCTTGGCACACGCCTTCGCCTTCCTCTGCAGCTGCCACTGCCGCTTTTATTATCTACGCCATATTTAATGCACAAACATTCAGACACTCGAGTAGGTAAGTAGGTTGGGCTGATCCAAGCTGAGTCGTCAGCGTCGTCGCTCAAGTAGCAGAACACACACATGCACACACACACACCATCACACACACATACATATGTGCAAGCTGGCTTTCAATTTAATTTCCTAGCGCACCCTGCCGGGCCCTGGCAAATGCCAATGGCTGCCCTCGTGAACTCAAGAGGCAGCATCGGTAGCTCAGACCTTTCTTTGCCGCACACACACACTCATAGACACACACATTGCACACACTTTGTCTTTGCCCTCAAGTTGTGCTCCATCGTCGTCTTCGTCAGCTTTTTTCACTTTTCATTTAATACATACTCGTATATACAAATATACTCTCAAAAACTTGTAGCATGTATTCAATAAATGATAGTGCACTCAATATTTGGCTTTGTGCTGTAATGCTCGCAAACATTTTTGAAATTGCGCGCTTCTAATGCACTTCCGTTCCCATTGCCTAATGGAGTGCCGCCCACTTATGTGTGGGTGTGTGTCATTTAGTGTGTATAGATGTGTGTGTGTATGTACGTAATGTAATTATAAACATGGCCAACAAATTGTCAGCACATAAACTAAGCCTAAAGACGCACCGCTTATCACAAGCCTGCAATCTACGATGCTTTACAGTAGATCTCGAAATTGCTCGCCTACAGTGTCCACTATTTTTAACAGACTCATTTAAAGAAATGTGTCCTTCCTAATCTCTATAATCAGAGCATTTGAAATCAAACCAAAAAAAAATGTATATATATTACTTTAAAATATTTTTGTGCTTTATGTAGATGCTTTCCTTTCGACCGCCTATATTTGTTGACAGCTTTCAAAAATTTTTATTTATCGAGCTTGAATTTTAATCTTAAGTTTATTAAAGATATTAGTATATTTCAACGGGTTTCTATACTTTAAATATTAAATTCTTGGATCTATTATCTACATATTGTTCGGCTTTCAAAAAATTCGTATTTATCGAGCTTCAGTTTGAATTTTAATCTTAAGTTAATTATTATTTTTTAAATATCTCAATTTTGGGTCTGTTATAAAAATATTGTACAAAAACTTCGCAATCTAGAGTTTTGGGGAAAACAGAAACTTGTAGCTGTCCTTTGCTCACCCCATGAAATGCCAATGCTTTGTCAATCTACTTGTGCCAACTAGTGTACGTGTATGCCCATAAATCATCTACCACACAACAATACAGCAATTGTGAGAGACTAATGTAGTAAACGAAATAAAAGACAACGGAGCAATAAAACAAAAAAGAAAAACATAAAAAATGGAAAAATGAAAAAGTAAAACTCACGCGCAAGCGCCAAACAGCAGCATCGGAAGAGGCAGCGAAGAGCAGTCTCTGGGAGATCAAGACTGCAGCTTTGGAAACAACAACCGTCGAACACACAATAGACAGCTGAGCTGGAGCATACAGTATGGGTACTCAGACGAGTGTGCTGTGTGGTGTGTGGTGTGTGTGTTTGTGGCTGAAAACTAGTTCAAAAGTTCAACAGAACAAGCGAGCTGGCTGTCTAGCAAGCTAGCTTGCGAGCTGGCTGGCTGAATGAATGACTGCCGCACGATCGTTGCGCACTGCTGGTGGGCCTCTCAGGGAAAGGGAGTCAAAGTCAACGTCGCTCGGATCAACATCATCATCGTATTCATCATCACGTGCTTTGTGGCTACTGTTACAAAGGCCCAAAAGCTACAATCACAGATTCTACTATTTCTTCGTCTGCCTTCTTCTTCTTTTTTTTTTTTTTGGCTATAAATAGCCACAAGAACCGCAAAATCATAACAAGCTGGCCCAGTGGCCAGGGAAGGGGGCCAAGCCACTTTACTGCTCACTTGGCTCACTTGGCTTGGCACAAAGCGTCAGCGAGTACTTCTCGTTTCGATTCGTTTCGTTATGTTTCATTTCGATTGCTTTTCTGTGGTTATGGGGATATATACTTATGTATACGTACTCATATGTATGTCTGTATATATGCACTTTGAATGCTTTCCCATGGCCTCAAAAATGCTTGTACAAGTACGTTGCGATTGAAGGCAGCTCGCTCACACACACACACACACACACACACACACACTTACACACACACTCACATCAATAGAGACCGCAAGTCATGCCATGCCTTGCCGCCATTCCGATTGCACGTTTGATATATTTCGTGTTATGCTCTTAGAATCGTCAACCATTCTCGATGCTGCGACCAGTCGAAAAGTGCCTCCGCACACTAGACCACAAGATTTTGTCATTGATTTTGATTTCGATGTCGATTTTCTGTTTATGACACACTACTCATATGTTAAATGCAACAGCAAAGAGCTCAACAGATTCATTTCGTTGTTATGCTGTTATGCCCACAGAGCTGCTCGAAGTCAAATCTTGTCAACGTCATCATCGACATCGACTTCGACATCAGAGCATGATTAAAATCCCAACAATATTTAATGACATCAATGCCGATATGGTTCCTGCATGACTGCAATCGACAGGCGTTTGTTGTGGCATTATTAAATCAATGAGAATATAAGCTCATTGAATACACTCATTTAAGACATATTTATTGACCTTAATATAGCATGTAAGGGCTTTGTAAGCCACGCAGAGATCTGTGATGCACAACAAAAGTTGAATGTAAAAATAATCAATTACTGAATATATTCGTATGTAAGTATGAAGTTGCTAGTAAATAATCAAACAAAACAATAAAAATGCTGAACATACTTGTATATTCAATGGCCTTTCTTTTTTTTCAGCCGTTGCTGAACTTCAATTATCTTTGTAGGAAAGGAAAAGCAAAGGAATATTGATATTGATTAAAAGTAGTTTATATAGTAGTGCTTAAAAAAACTCATTGGACCATAAACTGGATAATATCAAATAACTAGCAATATCTACATGCTTTTATTCCATTTTCAAAAACTAAGTCGCGTTTAATTAAGCCTGTTAGCTGCACTTCCGAACATATTTAGAAAGAGCTACAGATTATTATTTCCACTGCTTAGATGTCTTCAAATAAAGCTACCGGCTCTTCTAAACAGTCCTATTTTTAAGTTCTTATCGCCAAAAGAATGTAAAGTTTACTATAATGATATTGGAAAGAATTTCGTAGTCGTTGCTTTTAATTTGTCCGTAGGTCTCTTTCTGCAATTTAACAATTCAAATAACTGCCAACGCTGGCGTTGTGGCACCTTTTGGGAGCTGATGGTGACGATGATGACGACGACTGGGCATTAGCATTGCCAATTAATTTCCATTTTTGCTAAATTTTTATAAATTTTCGTAAAGACAAAACGCTTGGGAGAATCCCGCTCAGAGCAGCACGAAAAAAAGTTATAGTCGTTGTCGAGTTTTTATTTGCTCCACAGCCGAGATTAATTAACGTTAATTTTGCATAATTAAATGCCAGAAAAAAAAGAGAAAGATAGTGGAGCGAGTAGAGCTTAATAGCTTTGACCGACTGTGCTGGGCAGGGCATGGAAAGTTGGCGGCCATTTTGAGCTTCCCGAGTGCGGGACATTTGACCCCCAGAACTCTGACATATGCATGCGGAAGAGTGACGCTGATAGACTGATGAGGGGTGGGCGGTGTTGCTTTCCATTTAATGCATTGTAATTCCCTTTTTTGTAAGTAATGCCTTATGACCTTTTAGGCGTTTTACATGGAAAAGCTTTTTGTGGCATTTGGTATGAATGCGGTTGATTTTCATTTCCATTTGTAGAGAGAATTGTTGTTGCTCTTTCTGTTGTTGTTGACAGCAGCCAGCTGATTAAAATGGACGCCATTTGCATAAAAATATTGCACTAACATATTCAAGCCAATTAGCAAGGGATTGAGTTACAGGGCCGCCATTTAAAGGAAGGGCTTTCGAAATCAATGAACTGGATTTATCACAATCATTCACAATTCCATAAAAATAGCCTAACACTCAAATGCTATTGGCAGCAATAACAACAAAAATCCAATAGCCAATGACAGCTGTGGAGCACTTTTAATATTTGCTTTCCCTTTAACTGTATCTTACAATCTCGCAAGTCTACATTTTACTTTATTTTTCATCTTCTATTATTTATTGTATTTGATTTGTTTGCCCAAACGAAATGCATTGTGAAAATTCCTGACCACAGCAATACAAAATGCAAACGGTACAGAAATTTATGTGACATGCCAATAACTTGAACAAGTTTCCTTCCTCCCTTTCCTCTCCTGCCTCGCCTTTTCTGGCCACACACAAAATTTTCCGCATTTATGCTGAGAGGAAGGAAATGTTTTTCATTGTTTGCCTTCAATGCCAATTGAATGAAAGGTGGAAAAGAGCAAAGGAACTGCACATTGGAGCATAAGTTGATATAGAAGTGGTAACAGGTAAATAGATTTTCTTGTTTACATATTCCCCCGGGGATTGATTTCCCTCTATGCCTTCGATAAACAAGGAAATAATTTGCTCAAAAATTTGAAACATTTCACAAGCAATATATGAAATGTAATTCCTAAGGGGATTAGTTTCCTTTTTGCCTAGAAATGCCATTGGTGTTAATTAAACTAACTCTACAAATATGCCAAATCAAAACAATACGTGAAAGGTTTTTCCCCGAGAAAAGAAATTTATATGAAATAAGTGGAGAGATTTTTCCTAATTAGATTGAACAATCAGGAATGCAGTCGAAGCAAATCTTTAGCTTTTCTGAAACAAGTGTGTTCTTTTCTTTGAAGAAAACCCCCATTGTCTTGACACTTTATTTTGTTTTTTGAATCTGTGCTCAATGTGCTAAAGTTCCTTAAAGGTTATTAAAAGTTTTTCGATCGCCAGTGCATTGTTCGGTAATTCAGTGCCAAAGTCTGAATGCAAATACTTGGAATACATGGCCCACTAGCAAGTAATAGCATCAATTGCTTGGCAACTACTGAGTTGTCGTGCTCACTTAGTTGCTGCTGCAGCAACTAACTAACGAACCAACTCCCACTACCACTACTGCCCACGCACCTAAATACTCTTGGATGCCACGCTCTTTTTTTGGAATTGTCTTCCAACCGCCTTTCCTTCGCTATTCGCTGCTCAAATTGCCTCAAATTGAACACAAAATGCGTGTGTGCGTAAACTCTGTTGACTCTGCTTCTGCCACTGCTGCACACTGGAACAGCCGACTCCAATAATATCACTCCAAGAAAAGTATGTGGATATATATTATAGCTAATTTAATCTTGCAAGTTAATATAAAGACAAATAAATTTTAAGCATGATTATGTGGAAGTTCTTCTTGTCTTGAGGCAGTGCCAGCACCTACTTAAAAATTAAATACTATAATTTAAGATTCTCCTCAAAAAGTTAAAGAACATAGCAACAGAGAAAGTAACTGAGAACTAAAGAAGCAGCTAGAATACTTTTTAAACAGGCTACTAGGATCAATTTAAAACATTATTATTTGAAAGTTCTTCTTGACTTGAGGCAGTGCCAGCACCTACTTAAAAATTAAATTATTTAAGATTCTCCTCAAAAAGTTAAAGAACATAGCAACAGAGAAAGTAACTGAGAACTAAAGAAGAAGCTAAAATACGACTAGGATCATATTTCTTATACGTATAGAGCTTATACGATAGTTTTTCTACTAAAAAATATTGGATTTGTAATTGAAAATTACAAGAGAATCTCTAGCCACATATTTCAGCCCACTGTGCATCACATCTGATGCTGCAGCAGTGGCCGGTGCTGGTGCTGGTGCTGGGTCTGCCTCAAGCCTGGTCGCCGTCTGCTCTTTTTGTTGTAAACTGCGCCGCTGCTCTTTGTTGATTTGCCGTAGTTTTAGTTTTGCGCGCTCCTCCATTCTTTCAGCTTGTTGAGAATGATGTCATTAATTAATGTGAATGAGTTCAGTATGATGTCAATTAGCTGCGGAAAGCGCACTTGACGGCATCAGCAGCGGCAGTGGCAGTGGCAGTAACAGTAGTTGCTGGAGGAGGAGGGAGAAGTGCACTGAGGCAGCGCATAATTTGTTGTACAAGTAGTTGTAGTTGTGGTTGTAAGACAAACGGCCCACACACTCATTGAGGCATTGAGAGGGAAACAAACAACACGCAATGGTCATATTTTATGAGCATTTGCGATTGAGAGCATCAAACGACGCAACAACGGGGCAACTAGGGCCGTGGTGGGCGTGGCCGGAGCTTAGTCAGCTGCTGATACCACTGCGACTAAGTCCCCGAGGCTTTTACGCACACACCAAACATACACCACAAAAGTTTAAAGCTTTATCTTAATATACAAGAAATACTTGAACGAAAAGTTTTGGCCAACTGCTGCGACGACTGTTTGTTGTTGTTGTTGTTGGGCAGGAATAGTTAAGTCTCGTCTGTGCGAGAAACTAAAGACAGCCATAAAATCCCAAGCCCATGCCGAATCCCCGAAAAAGCAAAACTAAAACGAAATCATTAAAAGCGTAAACCCCCCACAAAGCCGAAACCGACGCCCGGGCGTGTGAAACATAACAGAAAAGAACAGAAGGAAAGGAAGGAGCCCGGCGAGAGAATCCAAAATAATAAGAATAATAATAAAAATAATAAGTAAATGCAATAAAATGAAAATCCAACTGGGAAATTTTGTTTGATTTATTGTTGTTGTGTTTTACTTAAGCGCAGCAGCGACAGCAGCAGCAGCAACAACAGCAACAACAGCATAAGAAAGAAAAATATGGAGAGACGCGTAAGGGAAAGCATTATGCAGATAAAGTGCCTGGGACTGGCATTTCGTGTCCAAAGTTTTACTTTGCCAACTGAGGTAGAGGATTTTCTTCTTGTTGGCATTGTCTGGGTGCTGCTCTTGTTGTTGTTGTTGCTGCTGATGGTTTTGTCTTCTCTACGTCAGGTGAAATTAGCCCACAACATCTGGCGACCGCCCACTTACTCGCCCTTTTAGTTTTCCGTACTTACAACACAAGATGGAGTGGCTCGCTCGAGAGCTTTTGTTTCTATTTCTTCGTTGTCTTTATTGCTACTGTGTCGTTTTGGTTGTTGGCTGTGTCTTTATTATTCGGTACATACCTGCAAAGAGAGCAAAGCAAATAAAACAAATCAGATATTGGCAAATATTGTAAATCTTTCAATCGAAATATGCATAAATTATGGCTGAACGCTTTCTTTTGCAATTCAATTAGGTGGCTGGCCAAAAGATTTGCCTTTCAGATAACCATAAGCACAAAAAAGCAGTAGCAGTAACAGCAGCAGTACCAGTGGCAGTAGAAAAAATGCTTTCAGCACATATGGTTGCTGAGCACACTTTCCAATTAGAGTTGCGAGACTTGCACAGATTACAAAAATAAAACAAAGCTTAAGTCTATCGATGCTGTGATGCGCTTATTTATGACGTTTATTAGTTAGAGCCTAGGAAAATTCGATGGTAATGGTACTACTATCTCCGACTTATTAAACGCTAACAACTTAAAATGTTCTTAGACACAACTGAATTCAAATTGCAGCATTTTTAATACAAACTGCATTTGAAAAATGTTAAATGCTTCAATTAATAACTGATTATTTTTAGTAAATTTACAAAATGTTTTGCTGAAATCTCATGATTAAATGGTTAAATGTTTGAATAATGTGGAACCTAAATACATAAAAAGTTTCAACCTTAAATTAATTTCAGTAAATTGTACGTTTATATGAAAAATGTAAACTTGAAATGGGGATCTTGAACATCATTCTTTTATTCAGTACAAAAAAGATTTCTCTTAACATTTGTAATGTTATTAGGAACTATTATGACTTTCTTTAAGCATTTTCATGCCTATGTTCGTAAAGAGATTGTTGACCCATAAACGTCGTTAACACGCCAGAATGTCCAAGTTCAGTGAAAATGCTCAGCATTTTCGGTAGCTAGGCCTAACAGCCCAGTTGGCTGCCCGCTACCGCTACCTGCTGTCAAATGCAAAACCCATTAGAAGGCTCGCTCTTTAGGATAGCAGGTGAGCATAGGTACATTTATCGGAAAGTATGTGATGTATAGTATGTTATGTGAGTGCTGTGTGTGCTGTGTGTGGTTCAATGCTTCATGAACATGCAAGCATTTGAAAGTTTATTAACTTGGCTTTTAGTCTGCGCTTTGGGGGCCATTGGCACACATCGCAAGCTGACCAAAAACCCCAAAAATGCTGGGCGCGGAGGGGCGTTCGACTACACGAAGTTGTAGTTATTGTTTTAACTGCCGTTATGTGCCTTAACCATTGCTGGTCAGAAGCAGGAGAAGTAAGAAGAGTCGGAAGTGTGGCTGGCGTTTGTTTGTTGTTGTTTTTTTTTTTCCTTTTGCCTTTTTGATTTTGCCAATTGGCCACTTGTTTTGTTACTCGACAGTTTGTTGTATTTCGAAAGGCATATTGTGCTTAAAAATTAGGCGCAAACAATTTTGTGGCAAGCCTTTCACCAAAGTAATGATTTTTTCGAAGCTCGCTCTCGAGAACTGTGCTTTTGATTAAAATAGGCCTTCAACTGTTTCAAAGAGCTGCGAAAAACTTATGCCGTTTCCTTTTGCGACCACAACTGCATATAAATTAAGAATCAAAAGCCACCCAGCTGGTCTGACACCTTCTTCCTAATAGGTTAATTTTATGGTAGACATTTAAAAAACAGTTGTGTCTAAGCCCTGAAATCCAAACTCCCTTTCCTTCGGCCCTATGTGCTTAATGTTCGACACCGCATTCCTTTCCCGAACTCCTCCATCTTGTTTGTCATGTTCATATTACCAAGCGGTTCTAAGCTGAACTGTAACTGAACCCCTTTGTCGTTTGTCCTATGGCTGTTTGATTCCACAGTCGACTATTGCTTTTGTTTTACATTTCCACTGTCCGAAATTTATTTACATTCACTCCCTCGACTTCCTTTCTATATTTTGTCTTTGACGACATTTTTCAGTGTTTACTTCCCTTTTTGTTCTCGCTTCGTCCCTTCCTGTGTGTATTCGCTTCGCTTTTTTGGGGTTTCCTCGCCAGCCAGGACTCGACATCTACATACATATACTATAGTATATAGTATGTGCCCTGTGCCGCTGTCGGCTTTATTAACATGTAATTGTGTTGGCTTCTGATATAGGGCGTAGAATTTGTGCCACCTTGGCATACAAAAAATGGAAACGCCACTAGCCGTCTTCTCCTATTTACTTTGACTGCGACAAAAGCAGCCGACGACTGTGCTGCTAATGATGTGCAAATAGTCGTAGAATGCATCACATGGCACATTCCAAAGTACATACTACTCAGGCACACACAAATATAGACACCGTGCCAACCACCTGAACCGCCTCCACCTCCACCTCCAATGAGAAAGTATGAGCGCAGCTGCGCAATTTGCTCAGTTACTGCCAAGAATGACTTACAACACCGGGCCCAGACCTGACCAGCAGCGCGCTAAGCTGCCAGTGTTGTCAAATGCATGAAATTTTGTTTCCTTTCGTACAATTCTACAATATTTAATCGCAATTGGATTAAAAAATATAAAACTCTTGCACAAAAAATTGCAATCCTGCCAGTGATTTAGATTTGGTGATAAACTCACTGGAAAATACTAATCCACAAATCAACTCTGTTATATTTTCCAAGTTGATAAATCATTCAAAATAAGTAACTCCAACATGTGAAAAGGGACATCACTGCTGAGCGACGTTTTCTGCCCTTTTTTTGTCCAACAGCCACGCACTCAATTAGCTTTTGGTTGCTACCCCCATCCTCATCATTCCGTCCAAACACATTCTCCCACACACACACACACACACACGCACCCAGAAACCATAAGGAAATAAATGCGATATGCTGATATACTCGGCCCTTTAAGCAGCTCAGTTCTGCTCGAATATCCTGTTTTTGTGTTATGTGCGCTTTGTGTGCTGCCTCGTTTCTTTGTATTTACACATGCTATTTGATGAGCTGCTTAAAGACCTGTTGTTGTTGTTGTTGTTGTTGCTGTTGCCATCGCTATGGGTCTGGCTGGGAGGTAAAGCGTTGGTCTCATGTTACATGCTGGCTGCCAGCCAGCCAGCCAGCCAGCCATCCACCGACCCAACCCAACCCATCAAGCCAAACCCCTTCGTTCTTAGACTGACAGACGATGCGGCTCATTCGTTTGCTGAAAACAACAACAACAACAAAAAAAAACACAAACTGGTTGGTGACGTAGTCGTCTTTATGGCCACCAATGTCGTTTGTCTTAAAGGCCGAACCGAAAACGAAGGAGAAGAAGAAGCAAATTCGTCATGTGTATGATGAGCCAAAGGGTGAGCGGGGAATGGCAATTACAGCAACAACAACAACAACAACAGCTGCTGTCAGTGTTGTTGTTGTCGAAAGGAAGTGGCTTTGATTTGAGATGCCGCCAACGCGCTCGCTCAATGACGCAACAGAAACAGCTGTGTGAGTTAAGAGCGGCAACGAATAAGAGAACAGGTGTCGCAGAATTCCTTAGAAAGGCAGAAAACGTTGCCGCAGACACTTCGAAGTGCTCGAAAGATAAATACCAGCAGGTGAGTTGACGGCGAATCGACCAGAGACCACAAAGCAGAACACATTGAGAGAGACGGAGAGAGGGAGAGAGCATTCCACTTCTTGGCACACGCACACACTCTCAGAACCTTGAACCAGGATATGTTCAGTGCGAGCAGTGTTTCGGAAGAGTACTTTAAAAACTGGAAATGTAATGCAGACAGTTCTTTAAAAATATCAAAGTATACAAAAAAGTCCGCAAAACACATAAATCATCTTAATTAATATTAATTAAGCCAGCATATTATACTATTATATTGCAAAAATGTACTTCAAATATTTCTTCCTATTATTCAATGCAATTGCATTTAATAGTTTAATATAAACGATTATTTTTATGTGTGTCATTAACATAATACATAGGTATCATTGCCATGCTTTATCCATTTACAAGCTTTCTCCATTTACAAATTGCAACAATTTAGTTCAATTGTTTGGCTTAATGTATAATTCCAATTCATTGCATACAACAATACGTTATTATTAGCTGAAAAAAACTGCAAAAAATCTTCAGCTTATTCATTTGATTTTCATATTAATTTCAAATGTTTTGAAGTATCAGAAATTAATTCTGTTGGCAATTGTTAGCTGGGAACTAAATAGGCAGAACATTTTTCTAAATTGTCTGACCATTGCGGACCTTGTTTTGTCCTTCTACGAGTATTTGTTAAATGCCTGCATATAATGAGCACCTTGAATTGAAGCAAAGGTAACTGAAATTGTTGCCAACTGGCACTGGCACTGTCACTTTCCATCTCTCTCCATCTCTCATTTTAGTCGCTTCTCCATTCATGTCTCAGATCAGTCACGCAATTTTGATTGTCTTTTATGCGGTTTATTTAATTTGAAATTGTAGCCAAAATGAAATCAGACGAAAGTGCCGCGTCGAGACACATTAGTTGAAGAGCACAAATGCGATTTGGCTGTGCGGATGTGCGGATGTGCTCGTAAATATGCGAATGGGAACAGCATTCACATCTGATGTGAGCTTAGCTATGTTGTTGTTGTTATTGTTATTGTGGTTATGTAACGCCTAGTAGACCCTTGTGGCTTATTGGCAATCAACTAAAGCAAAGCCGAGCGGGTACCAGTTACACAGCCAGATGGTATTGCCAAGGCCCAGACAGAGCAAACAATTTGCTCAATTCGGCACATCGTCTGGGCGAATGCATAAATACGAGGGCGGTTTTATGAAAAACCAATCAATGTTAGAAGTGAAATGGAAACACTTTTGAAACACTCATTGCAATCAAAAATTCTATATTTTTGAAATAGAAAAATGAGCTACGAATTGTTATAATTGTTATTAAACGTGCACCGTATAGGTCTAATATTTGTGATATAATTACTGCTGACTTATTTTCTTTAACGACGTATTTATTAGCAGTGTATTTTTTGTGATAATATTTTTTTGTTCTTGCACTTTTAAACGTCATATGAATATTTTGTTTTTTCATTTTTGGTTAAGCTTAAAATTTCTTCATTGTCTTCAGCCGATTCTTCCCTATATTTATA